GGTATGGAGGCAGATTTTGCCCCCTCACTAAAAATCCCCGCTAAAATCCTAAGGACGAGAAAGGATTCCCCAACCCCACAAGACCTTGTTGACATCCTATTTCAACCTTTATACCAAACATCACTCAAAATGACCAAACCTGATATATTTATTGTTTAATTGGATCGAGTAAGGGTAAATAAAATTTAGTTTTATTTATTTACCTTGGCTGATATATATATATATATATATATATAAAGGGTTTCCTTAATTAATTGTTGTAGCATCAAAGTATCCTCTTTCACAAGGTAATCCGAGAGTTTTTTTTTTTTTTTCTTTTTGAACTGAAGTTAAATATTAAGGTAATCAAAGAGTTTATTAATTTAGATATCCCATATTTAAGTCATATCTTTTTCAAGGTGAGTACATAATCATTGCAATACATTACTATATCCCTGTTTTGAGTTTATGTAATTATTTTTAATATTAGATTATATAATAAGAGATAATTTCTCTCATTTTTTAATTTATTTTATATATGTGTCATATAATTTAAATTTAATTTTTTTTATTTTTATTAAAAAAATTATTATTGAATAATAAGAGGTAATTTAGATTGTATAATAAAAAGTAATTTTTCTCACTTTTTAATTTATTTTATATATGTGTCATAAAACTTAAATTTAAAATTTTTTATTTTTATTAAAAAAATTATTATTGAATTATTTAAATCATTAATGAGTTCATATAATTTGAAAGTATGAAATCACATAAAAAAGAAAAAAACTATGGATAAATTACATACCACATAAGTTTTTTACATCTCATGATAAGCAACCTAATAAGAAATAACTCCCCTTTTGCAAATTTTCTTTCTACTCATTCTAAAATTCAAACATAAACATCTAATTTAAAACCTCAAACTTAACCGTTAAAACAGAGTTAAAGGACAATCATGTCACTTATGCACATGAGTGGTGTGCATCATTAGAAATACCAAATCCTGTTAGGCACCACTTTACATTTTCCAACATGTTTTTTTAATTGCCTTTTCAACAGAACTAAAAACCTGTTTTATATTGCCTTTTTCATGTGCATGCAGCTTCAACTCGTAAAAGAAGAGTTAAAAGAATTAAATAAAAAGGTTAACAAAGATTGATGATGCGGTACTTGCTTTACAAAGCCAAAAGCAAAATAATAATGCATTTTCCTTTTAACAAGAAAGCAGGCAGCCTGAATATACTCAAGTACATTTAGAAAGGATATATATTACTAAGTAGTAATTTTTTTTTTTTCATTGAATGATCAACCTTTTATTGGTGGCTTTCGCTTTACATACTATTGACATAGTAAAAATGATTTCCATTTTTTTTATGTTTAATTTATTTTAAGGGAAAAATTGTTTTTTGACTAGCTAATACTTCCCTCGGTCCTAAAATGTATGTCGACCTTTTGTCCACGTTAAGGAATGACATTTAATTATCCCTTTGAATTTTTTTTTGGCGATTTTAAATAATATTTTTATAAAAAAAATAATTAATATATCTTCTAATTTAATATATTTTTCAATATTTATTTAATTCAATTATTAAAATATATTATCAATACAATCAATTCAAACAATTCTTATATGTTTTATGTATAGTTATATTTTTAAGTTTTTTTTATTTTAATTTTAAAATAATAATTTTTTTAATAAATATATTGTATAATATATTAAAAGAGAAAATATACCAACCAATGTCATATCTTTATGTTCAAACGGAGGGAGTAAATGATGTTTTAAAGGGAGTGGATCTAATATTTGCTACAAATAGAGGGTTACTTAAGCTCAAATTAGAATGGTCGCTGCTTCCTCTCTCTATAGTCCCGTGTCGCGCTTTTTTCAAAATTTTTTTAAAAGACTTGTTTAATTAAAAATTTATCAAAAATAAATTTAGTAAGATGACTTACATTATACTAATTCTATTATATATTATTGTAGCAACTTTTGTACATCTTATGTCCTTTTTTTAAGGTTTTTTTTTAAATATTTTTTATAAATTTATTTTTTTATATAGCACCATATTTTAAAAAGTAAATTTATAATTTATAATTAATATTTTATATACTCCTACTAAATTTTTATGTATTTTTAATAATTTTAATTAATGTTTTATATATTTTTATATTCTCTTTTTACAGTCCAATACTGCAATGAATTATTACAAAAAAGAGAACACTTGGATGAGGAAGCAGGCCTTTAGGG